GGTTATTGAACCTGAAGCTTGTTGCTTCTGCCCTGCTCGACTACGGTCTGGGAGCCGACATGAAAGTTCAACACACAGATGGCCAGTCAGCCACTCTGTAGCATATTATTTCGATGAGAGATGAGCAGATCGCCACTGGGCTTTCAACTAAATACACAGCCACGCAAAAACTGCGGCATTTGTACAGCTCCTTATGGGTACTGCAATTTGTGAAGTGCTTTCCTCCGTGGTGAAACGATCAGCACTGCACCACGGAGGAAAGCGGGAGAAAGTCACCTGGAGTTAAAGAGAGCGGGGCTGCGTTGCGTGCATGGCTTCCTTCTGCAGGTAACGGGGAGACGCACTCTGGCTGCGGTCTCGTTCAGGATCCGAAAATAAAATTTAAATATTTTTGCACACTTATTCCTAGTGTGCCACTGGTTACGGGTTGCCGACCCCTGCTCTAGAACAACCCTGTTTTCTCAAAACTTGTGTTATTCAAATGAAATGGTCCAATATAAACACTTGTAGCCTACTGTGATTAGCTAACGGCAGCTAGTTTAGCAAAGTCGAATGCAATGCTTCTTATAGGGAAACCTTATTGATCCACTATAGGGGAATTTCAATCTGATGCAGAAGGGAATAACGTTATCATAAAATGCAAGACATTTAGATTAATACCACTAAGTTCAAAACTGAATCTAATGCCCGGGTGTAAATAGCATTAGTGACTATTGACACTTGGTGCATGTTGGGTACATTCTATATAACCCTGGGTTTAAATAGCATTGTTTTTAAAGACACCCGGGTGCATAAAGCATTGGAAAAAAGTTAGATTGTTTTGGAAAAAAGTTAGAATTTTTTGAAAAAATTAGAAATATGTTAAAGGTCACTAATTTGAAAAAAGTCTGATTTTTGAAAAATAAGTCAGATTTTTTTTTAAAGTTAGAAGTTTTTCAATTAACTGAGATGTCGAAATTTGGAAACAAATCATAATGTAAAAGAATAAGCATTGTTTGCTATAGACACCCGGGTGCAAAAAAGTCTTGTTTTTTTTCAAAAGTTAGATTATTTTCCAAAAAGTCAAAACATTCACAAAAACTCAGATTTTTTACCTAAAAATTAAAAAGATATCACAAAAAGTCCACAAAAAAATTAAAAAGTCAGTTTTTTTCCACAAAAACTCAGATTGTTTACAAAAAAGTCAGATTTTTTTCAAACACATTTAGAAATATGTTATAGGTCAGGAATTGGAAAAAAGTAAGATTTCGGAAAAATAAGTCCGTTTTTTTGTTAAAAGTCATTTTTTCAACAAATTTAGATTTTTGTAAAAAAAGTTAGAATTATGAAATACAACGAAAAAAATGCAAATTCGGATTTCTTTTTGAATTTTTACAAATGAGTCAGAATTTTTATAGACACCCGGGTTCAAATAGCATTATTTGCAAGTATGGCAGATTACCACTTTGAGGTAAAATCTTCGCTCAAGGTCCTCCTTCTTGTTTTTCAGTGCTTTCAGACACATCTCACCGTCTTCCCCAACACACAGAATACATTTCATGGAGTGCTAAATATAGTTTGATGGTTTTCATTTGGGCCACTAATAAATGACAACTCAGCAAACTATCTGCAGAGGGACACGTGGTGAAAAAGCTTCTCTGTTATACATTGAGGAATTATACAGAATGAAATAGATGTGCTTTAATTGGAAAATGTAATCAGTGTCTTAAAGTCTGGGTGTCCTTTAAATCACTTTCTTTTCAAAGCCCCGGTAAATAAAGAATCTTTCAATTCATATTTAAGTTATTATAAATGTCACTCATGTAACAGTTTCCAAGACAACTGTTTTCTATATTATTCAAACTCTGCAGCGCAATATTATTTGTGTGATGGTTGCTGAAAGGAAGCATTAACAATACAAAGCGGTGAGTTGGCATTGATTTTTTAAAATACTATTCATTTCCATAGGGGACTGAACAGCACTCAAGCATTTCCTTAGATATGGTCTATTGATAACATATGTTCAAAAGCATGCAAAACAAAAAGCACAAGGACCCTGCACAGATATATTCTCTGTTCAAAGAGCCCTGAACGACTGAAAGAGATTCTACAAAGTCTGACAACCTCGTCGTCATTAGTCACACTCTCCAAAACCTCGCTTTACTTCTCACGCTTCAATGCCGCCTCCTCTGATGGCGGATTTGCTTGTTAAAGGTTCTGTCAAAATGGTTGGTGGCTTTCACTAAAATTGCTCGTACACGGTGAGCAGAAAATATCAGATGGTGGGATCTGGCTGAACATTGGAACCACACACACACCTAATTTAATGAATGTGAGCACGAGAATTCAAATCACAGATTAAAAGTGTTTGAACTTTAACCCTTAAGGAAATGTAATCCTGGAGTGTTGATTAATGCAATGAAATAGAATCTGAGCCAACAGAAAATGCTCCGTTTTTGTTTAATTAATACACACAGTTATTCTCACACACACTATTTTATGAACATATATGTTCACCTGCTGAATTGAAACAGAACAAATGAATCAAAGAAAGTGAAAACCAGGAAGCAGATTAAGGCAGTAGAGATAGATTCACACCTAAAGTGTTAGACTACAGAACAGAAGAGCTTTCAAAGAAGAGATAACAGCTCATCCACTCTGAATTTTTATAAAAAGTGAGTTTTGAAAAAAAGTAAGAATCATGTAAAAAATCACAAATTTAAAAAATGTTTTATTTTAGAGATAAAAGTGAGAATTAAAAAAAATCACAAAAAGTCAGATATTTTTCAGAAAAATCACAAAAAGTCAGATTTTTTTCAAAAAAATCACAAAAAGTCAGATTTTGTAAGAAAGATGTATGTTACAGGTCAACAATTAAATTAAATTAAGTCAGAATTGTTTTAATAAATCAGGATTTTGAGATTGTATTTTTACATGTGTACTTAAAGTATTATCCTACAGAAAAGCACAGTTTACAGAGAAGAGATAACAGCTGATCCTTTAACTTTAAGGCAATACAGCACATCTAAGGTAATCCCATTACATGTCATTTGAAACACTACTGGTCTTAATCTAGAGCACATGGAGTGTTAAGCTTGCTGATTCATCTCAAAATGCACCATCACTTGTAAATAACTAATTTTGTTACTTGTTTATCCAAAGTGGTAATGCCTTTGACTTTTTTGAAAGAGACCAATATTTTCAAACACAGTTAATCTCTTATATTGAAGATTCAACCATGAGAGTTTCTGTTCATCCAGACGTTCACGAACTGCTGACAACAATGGCTGGGAATCCTCAAAAACCTTCCCACTTCACTTTTTAAGAATCTGTAATAATGAAAATAAAAAAATACCAGTGGGAATTAAGGACTTGTGAAGCTTGAGAAAACACCCAGAGAGCAGAAATTCAAACTACGTGTTTTCAGTTGTTTCCTTGCACAGTATTTATTTGGGGAATTGCTGTTGTAAGGAACCTTTCAGCCTCTAGGGGGCGCCATGTTTTTCAGGTGTAGGGAAAGCCCTGATGCTAATCCGCCTCTGAAGCTGCTGGTGTGTTCCTGGCAAAGTGTTTTCACTGTTAGAGATGTAAAAGGATGAATGAGACATCATGTATTCATTGATTTCTGCTCACAGGGTTTATTTGGCAGAGGATTATTGTGGGATGTGAGCAGCGTCTCGCGCTCTGTGTCGTTTAAAGAGCTCGCTCCCCGCGGCAGGCTTTGATCCCGCGCTCCTCCAAAAACAGCGGGGAACAGACGCTCATTCTTCAAATACTAGCCTACTGTCTGTCTCTCTCTCTCTCTCTCTCTCTCTTTGTCTGTCTTTGTTGATCAGTAGGTTTACGGTCATAACATAAGAGGCACTTCCCCTAAAGAAGGACCTTAACAATTGGGATGGTGGCTCTGTGAGTCTGAAACAACAAATTCAAAGATAATTTATTGTAAATATTGTAACGCAGGGTTGCACGACGAAATATCTTGTTGTATCCTGTGAGTGTTACTTACTGTAGTATACAAACTTTAATAGTTAAAGTCATATTTAGCAGAACATACTAAACAAAGGCAGGTATTCAAACTGATGTTATTTTTACTCTTGCAAACCAAATATATAATTCGTCTGCTTGTCCAAAAACATTTTTTTTTATTGTTTTACGGAATGTTGATTGAATTGTATCATATTCTTGTAATTTCATGATATGTTTTTACATTGTTATTCATGTTTGTTGATCTGTAAATTCCCCTGAAACAAATGTGTTATGTGATATTGGGCTGTAA